AGTACGTGGAGTTCCGAGAACGACTGAGCAGAGTCGGGAACTGTACTCTGGTGCTTTGCAGTGAAGCAAATCTGCATGAACCCTGTACTTTTGACCGTGAAATAACATAACAATATTATATAACAATTTTTTTTAATACCTATGAATTTAAATTTTTGGTCTTTGAGAAAAATTGGTTCTAAATTTCTTACTTTGTCTTTAGATATATGTATACATAAATTAAAAATTTTGTAATCAACGCATTAACTTTATTTTGAAATAATCCTCTCTGTTTTAATTTGAGTGTTTCAAATTCCTGTTTAAAAAATAGTAATTTTTTATAATAAATCGTTTTGAACTGCTTCATTTCAGAACTAATCCTTGTCAAATTATTTTTCATAATGATAACGATATGGGCAATTGTTAAATGCTTCAGGCAGTAACAGTTTCAAATTTGAGAACATAAACTTGACATTAACCAATAGGGATAAGTTTAAACTGAAACTTAATCATTCTGAACCAAACTTTTACATTGCATTTCCTGTTTCCTTCTTTGTCTAACTATATTTCTGTTGTTGCTTTTCTTACCACAAGGTCTTAAAAATCTGAAATTCATTCAAGAATGAGCATGCTTAGCATCAGTTTATCAGTGATGCATTAAAAATATATTTCAGATGTGAGATTGGACATGAGTGCAACTATTACTTTATGCATCGGCTTTCGACATCGACAACAGTGCTGTCAACATCCGCTAAATTGTTTCACTTATATATGTATGTTATATTTCATTGGTTTCACATTACAGGTCCTGAAACTTTCAGAACGTGCTAAATTCTGGAAACAAGTTGCATAAGAATTTTTCAGTTTCACCAAGAAGTATTGCCATTTTCATATGCATTCTTTTGCTTGTATTTTAAGTTCCAAACATTTATGTTGACATATCATGATAATTTCTGTTTTAAACTCAATATTAAACTATGCATTTGTGGGGGATTTCCGCAATGGAAGAAAGTAAGATATCTGCCGGAATACCATATTTTCTTACAAAAAAATCTTAACAATTGTATTGAAGCTATTTTTAAAGCAATCCTCAAGAAATTTCCATCAGAATAAAAGAAACAAATGCTTGCCAAAACAAATTCATTCATTCATTTTCAGGATGAATATCTAATAAAATATAAAGTATGTATGCAAGAAAACCTGTGTAGGTTATAGACAAATTTTTGTAATTACAAGTTGTTGTTCTTTTCCATCTGGGGAAAATTACCAAAGTGTGCCTTGATTGCACTAATACTCTGGTTCCTTTATGGGGAGGGAGAACGTAATTAAGATTTTTGACCAAAATACCTTTCAGAACATTAATTCTTATAAACTTCAGGATTTCATATAGGCTATTTAGTAAGATAGTAATTAAGCAATATTTTTATAAATTTTGATTTGCAGATGTAGCATTTTCATAATGAATTGAATAATTTGCAGATGTAGCATTTTCATAATGAATTTCATTGGGCACAGCCCAATGTAGCTCATGCATGTGTAAAAGGTGACTAAAATTGGTACCCATTGTCCGGGGTATAGCTGGGCACCCTTGCCTCCAGGGAGTTTATAAATTTGGAGACCTGGACCTCCAGCTTGGGGGTTGAGCGTAAGGCCAATCCCCTTGCCTCGTAAAAACTTCTGATTCAGAAATCTCAAAAGGAATCTTCCGACTAACACATTCCTGATGACCTGGCTTGAAATCGGATCTGAGATTTGGGATATGGAATATAAGAATTTTATATAAATGCAGAGCTTTGAAAATGCTTACTGATGTTTGTATCAAGTGTAAATTAAATATACTGGCCATCCAAAAGATGAGATGGACTGACAATGGAGTGATTGATAAATGTCATTGCAGTGTTTATTTTAGCTGCCATGATAAAATACATCAGTTTGAAACTGGTTTTATTGTTGTTAAACAAATATGAGATAGAATTATTGAATTTGAACCAATGAATGAGAGAATTTGTAGGCTATGTATCAAGGGTAAGACACATAATATTTCACTTATCTGTGCCCATGCCTCCCCTGAGGATAAAAGGAATGAGGAAAAGGATAATTTTTATAACCTTCTTGATAAAACTCATTGTGAATGTCGCTCAAATGATATAAAACTTATATTGGATGATTTTAATGCAAAGATTGGTCACAGTACTAAAATGTGTTTGTGGGAAACCACATTCTACACAGGGAGTCAAATGAGAAGGGTATTAGACTTATGAACTTTGCCATTTCTGCTAATATGATGATTGGAAGTATAGCATTCAAGCATAAAAATATACATAAAGTCACCTGGAGATCTCCAGATGGAAAAACTCAAAATCAAATAGACCACATACTGGTAGACCTAAGACACAGAAGTAGACCTTATAGATATGCACATTCAGAGGTGCGAATGTGGATTTTGACCACTTTCTAATTATTTTGAAATTGTGCTATAAGATAGGCATATCTAATAATAAAAGGAGGGAACAAAAATTTAAAAAGCTTGATATTAAACAGCTGAAGAAAACAGAGATAATTGAGAAGTATAGGAGAGAATAACAGAATAAATTGTCGACAAGGGGGTAAACCCGACAGCTGAGAATGCTTGGCAAAATCTAAAGAAAGTTGTTGTTAAAGCATCTGAGAATACATTACCAGAATACCGGAAAAGCAAACATAATCATTGGTTTGATAAGGAATGTAGTGAGATTACAAAAAGGAAGAATGATGCATATAGACTAATGATTCAAAGACATTGCATTAGAAATGCAGAGGAAAGGTACAAGGAATTAAGAAGAGAGGAGAAGAGAATTCATAAGAAGAAAAAGCGATTGTACCTGGATGAAATTTACAGAAATATTGAAAATCTAAAAACACAGAAAGAAGCTAGAAATTTTATCAGCTGATAAATAATATCAGAGCTGATTTTAATCCCAGAATAATAACTTGTATGGAAAAAAATGGAGAAATCATCAGAGACATGGAGGAAGTTCTGGTTTATTGGTGTGGATATTTTAAGGGTCTGCTTTCGGGTAGAGATAGAGAAGAAGAAATGATTACTTATAACATGCTTATATACTATGAGTTGTGAATGGGAGGTTATGGAGCATAGTCCACCAATTCTGTATGACAATTAAAAAGTTAAATAATAATAAATCAGCTGGATCGAATGGCATGAAGGCAGAGCTTTTAAATATCAGTGAAACGAATTTAAATAAAGCAATCCATTATTTAATTTGTTGCACATGGACAGAGGAACAAATGCCCACTGAGTGGGAAAAAGGATCTTTTTGTCCTATTTATAAAAAAGGAGACAAGCTAAAATGTTGTAATTACAGAAGAATTACCTTACTGAATTCAGCATATAAAATCGTCTCCATTATTTTGTAAAAACAATTGCTTACATGTACTTCTAATTTTATTGGGAATTACCAGTGGGGATTCCAGAAGGGAAAAACAGCAACTGATCAATTGCATTCTATTAGACAAATCTTAATATTTAAATAATCAATAAAGAATATAACATTAACACCTACCACCTGTTCGCTGACTTTAAAATTGCCTGTGACAGTATTAACAGAGAAAAACTACTTGAAGCGATGTTAGAATTTAATATTCTGAAGAAACTGATAATCCTTACAAGGATGACTCTTAAAAAAGTGATATGTAGAATAAAAATTTTAACATACCTTTCAGAACCTTTTTATACTGAGAAAGGATTAAGACAGGGAAACTTACTATCTTGCCTACTGTTTAATATAGCTTTAGAAGAGACCATAAGAGACTTTGGAATAAACACAAGTGTAACCATCTTGCACAGAACTATTCAACTGCTGGCTTTCGCCAATGACATTGATATCATTGGGCGATCAAAACGATCTGGACACATTGATCACAAGTTGCAATGATGTAAAATTGAAATAAAGAAAGAATATTTATGGCTAATTAGATGTTACTACAGCCTTAAAAAACTTAAATCCAAACTAATCAACGTAAAAACTAAATTAAATTTATATGAAACTTTAATAAGGCCTGTTGCCATTTACGGAAGTGAATGTTGGATACTTAACAGAGCAGAGAAAGACCTCATATCAACTTTTGAAAGAAAAATCCTAAGAAATATCTTTGGACTCATACATCAAAATGGCATGTGGAGAATTCTTTATAATCATGAACTATTTGGAAATATGGTGAAACTGATATTGTGAGAATCGTAAAGTCATCTCAAATCAGATGGCTTTGCTATGTGTTTAGATATGATGATGCATTTCCAACCAAAAAGATAATCTTTTTGAGAACTGAGGGAGTAAGACGAAAATTAAGACCACCCACTTAATGGATAGATGATTTTGAGCAAGATTCAAGGTTAATTGGAGTTAACCGATGGAAGGCTATTGCAAAAAATGGGGTCAGGTGGAGGAAACTTGGAGAGACAGCCTTGGCTCTGAAGCTTAGAAGCTGTGTCACTCACTAAAGCAATTTTGGAGTAGAATTTCAGTATTTATTAGCGACAAATGATTGTCGTTTAAAAACATTTAAATCTTTTGCTTGTATAGTCTCGTGATGAATAAAAATGTAATGTTAATATGTGTAAAATATAAAAAATTTAAGTTATCTAATTATTCATAAAAAACCAAATTTTGAAAGTGCTTCTTTAATCTTCAATGATTTTCAGGCATTTACACCTAATTTAAAAACCTCTATATTAGAGAAAGGAGGAGGGGATGGTTTAACATAATGAAGCAATGAAATAAACAATTTTATCTTATAAGGAATAACTCACCCCTTTTTTAAAAAAATATCGGAAAAATGTCATTGTTTCTTTTAAAAACAAATTTATGCAGGAGCAAAAAATGTTCTGTTCCAGAAGAATTGTTAACTCAGATATTTTTATATTCAATTGTAAAAAGTCACAGCTATTTATTTTACTAGAAAATTCAACTTAGATTAATTTTGATTGCATCTTTTGAAAATATGTTTTATATTTTTTAGAAATCTATGAGCACAAACAGTGAAGTGATATTGGAAACTGCTGGTAACAAAGGTGTTATAACTTTGAATCGACCTAAAGCTCTCAACTCACTGAACCTTAGCATGATTCGTACAATATATCCTCAGTTAAAGGTATTTGCTCTTACCACTTATTATCTTTCTATCTGTATTTCTTTTGAATTTGTAGATGGTAGCTGAAAAGTAAAATGTTATTTGTGTATCTTAATAGCCACTAGTTTTTGCCTTGAACCTTGCATCACCTTGGATAAAGTTACTGAATTTTTACTGCTAACAGATGAACTTTGGCCTCATAAATAATGTTAGAACACAAAAATTTATTCTTCTATGATATTTATTTGTAAAGCATTCAACTGGAATGCTCGTCAACTATTATACTTAAAGTATTACATAAAAATATCTCAGTTTTATGATCTTATTTTTAAAAGTTTTTTGAGAATTTATATAATTGCAGCTTTTGAGATGGTATTATCATGACAATGGCATGTTACAAGACAGCTATTGAAAGGAGCACATTAAATTCATTATTTTGTATTTCTGTTTTTAGTAGTTATATGTATTGCATGCAGTATAACATTGACTGTTAGAAGTTCTAAAGATTGTCAATGGATTGCCATGCCATGCCGATTTAACAAGCATGCATAGCTCACTAGTAGTTGCTGTGAATGCTGGCATATGAGTCAATCTTCAAACAAGTTTATCCTACATATGAGGGATATACTTGCTTCAAGGCAGTGTTCTTACTGGAAGATAAATTATGAGTGTATACCAGGAAGAGTTTTTACATACTGATCAAAGAGGAAACTGGCATTATATACAATGTCTGTGGTACCATCCTGTTGAAAGTTAATTCCAGGGAGCTTTGGTAATAGCAGTAGTAGATCTTTTGATTCCAAAACTTTACTGGTATGCTCTTCTTGGCTGTTCACATTTCCCACAATTCATAGAAGGTAGGGGATGTGAGTTAAATATAACATCACCCCAAACCAGTGGTCGGCAAAGTGCAGCTCTAGAGCCGCATGTGGCTCTTTGGATCCTTAAGTGCGGCTCTGATACAAATATCCACAGAAGGCGCAATAATATTTTCATTTAAAAACAATTTGGTAAGGAAAAAATTACATCTTATTTTGATAAATTAAAATTCTTCTATAAATCGAGAACATGTATAATTTTTTGTTTGAGTAAAAAGATAGATAGGTAATTAAAATTTTATATTGTTGTAAAAATAAGTAACGAACATAGAGTTTAATTTTATTAGTTTTCGCAAATGGAAACATGAACCATGTTCAAGCTACCGGCATGCGCGTGCATGCTTTTTATAAAGTAGTGAAGGTACAAATTGGCATCACAGAGCAGCAGTTGCAGTGTGAACAGTTTTGTCTTATCTACCGTGTCTGCCGTTGTTCCTGTCTTATTAAAAAGTTGCTGTATTTTTTAATCTAGCTGCACATTTTACAGGTATTTTATACGATTTTATTACACCTGCTATGTATGGTTGTGGTTCCGGTACAAAATTTGTAATCGATTTTTATACGATTTTATTACACCTGCTATGTATGTTTGTGGTTCCGGTACAAAATTTGTAATCGATTTTTCAATAACTTCTATTCGTTCAAATGTTGGAAGTTTTCTTCCATTTTTGGTCGTTTTAAAAGTTTTGTTATTCTGATGATGAAAAAAATTATTTTTTTCTTTTTAGTGCAGTTACATATATTAATAAAATTGTATTTTTTAAAAAGATTTTTTTTTTAAATTTTATTTTCATCAATTTAATAATGATAATAATTTTGTACTGTTGGCTTTAGAAAAAAATATATTTGGAATATTTTTATAGGCACCCAATTAACATGGCTACCAAAAAAAAAGCAAAGAAAAACGAAGATGGAAACTGAAAATTTAAAGTTGAGTGGACTGAGAATTTTGCGTTTATTTCAAAACTTGAATGGACTTCCGATACATGTCTTATTTGTAAGGAGAAATTCGCGCATAACAAGAAGTCAAATTTAGAGAGACACTTTACAAAAAGCACGCGTCATTTAGCACTAAATATCCTACCGGTGATGCAAGGAAGAAAGCAGTTGAGGAATTTCGGAAGAGTCTAGAGTCGTCAACTCGAGTTTAATAACTGGATGCAATCTTCCAGCAATGTTAATATGGCAAGTTTTTTGTTTGTAGCCAAGAGATTACTAAAAGAGGAAAACAGTACACAGATGGCGAATACATAAAAATTTTTTTTATAAATGCATCTGAAGAGCTATTTCGGGATTTTAAGAACAAAGAAGATATTCTGAAAAGAATAAAAGAGTTACCATTGTCTAGCAAAACCATTAAAGATAGAACAATTAAAATGTGTTCGAATATAACCATCCAGCATATCGAAGATCTGAAATTGGTTTCGGCTTTATCAAAAGCAGTTGACGAGTCTTGTGACATAAATGATACAGCTCAAGTTTCACTTTTTGTAAGAATTTAGGATTATTGCCATTCAAAGGTCAGATGCATGGAGAAGATATCGCCAATGCTGTAATTGAGTGTATGGATAAACATCATATTCCCCTTGATAAAATTCTGTCGATTTCAACAGATGGGGCCAAAAGTAGGACCGGCGTAAGAAAAAGGGTTGTTGCTATTTTGAAAGAAAAAATTAATCACGAGGTACTTGTTTACCATTGTATCGTTCACCGAGAAGCGCTTTGTGCGCAAACATTTCCGGAAGAAATTTGTAAAGTTATTGAATTAGTGGTTACCATTATCAACTCCATTTTAGCTAAAGCTATAATCATCGCCAATTCAAAGAATTTTTATTTGAAATGAAGAGTGAGTATGCTGATCTTCTGCTTCATAACAAGGTACATTGGTTATCAAGAGGGAACGTTTTAAAACATTTCGCTTCCTTTTTTTTTTTTTTTGGGAAATTAAAGCATTTCTCTTTGAGAAGGGCGTTCACTATCCAAGAACTAACAGACGATCAGTGGATCCAAAACTTTTATTTTCATGGTAGGACATTACGTCTCATCTAAATCAGCTTAATCGTAAACTACAAAGGGAAAGGAAACTTTAATTTTTTCGATGTTAGAAGAAGTAATAACATTCGAAAACAAATTATCCATTTTTGCACAGGATTTTGAAAGGGAAACATTGTTTCACTTTCTGAGCCTACTGAAGCATCGCCATGAAAATAATTCCTCTATTGATAAACACCATTTTAAAACAATAATTTTAAATATGAGGGAAGCATTTCTCAGCTGTTTTCAGGAATTTAAAAACAGCAGAGCAACTTTAGCATTTGTCAAAAATCCTCTTAATGCTACGATAACCGAGTTGAAATTTTCTCCTCTTGAAATTGACATCGGTAGCTTTGAAATCCAGTTGCTGGATTTAAAAAACAAGGAGATATGGAGTTCTAAATTCGAACGTCTGTGTGTTGAATTAGAAATATTGGAGAAGAAAAAATGTGATCTTAGTTCACAACTTTGAATGACTAGTTCTGCTTTGAATGATCTGGAGAAGGAAGACATGATCATTTTCAATGCTTGGAATGGTATTCCTGACTCTTACAATCAGCTGAAAAAGCTCACGTTTGCTGTTCTTTCCCTTTTTGGTTTTACATATATATGCGAATAATCTTTTTCAAGTACGAACATTATCAAGAGTAAACTGAGAAGTCATCTTATTGATGAGAACTTGGAATCATGCCTAAAATTAAAAACAACAATATACAAACCTGACTTACTCAAACTTTCCAAGGTGATGTAAGCACATTGTTCGTATTAATAAATATTTATTAAGTATTAAATTTAGTTTTATTTAGTGTAATAAAAGTTTACTAAACAAGCAGATTTGGCTCCCAATTTTTCTTAAAATTGTTGTAAAGTTCATATTTGGGTAATAAGTTTGCCGACTACTGCGCCAAACCATAATGCTCTGTGTTGAGAGCACTGTGATAGTTTGCAATAATGTTCCCAACGCTGTTCAACAATGTAGCAGCAAATGAAAGTTTACTATCACACATCCAGAGGTTGTACTAAGATTCATCAGAAAAGGTGATTTGTGCTTTTTGGTGACTTACTGTCTTTTCTCTTTGCACCATTAAAATTGGTATTTATGGCAAGAGAAGATTTGCATTAGTAGATGCTGAATTAACATGCTTTTCTGCAGCAGTTGTTGGCAAATATCACCTGATGTTTCTTTGTATTCTGTTATTATCATAATGTGATGGATGTTGTAGTATGATCCATCCATCATGTCTGTGTTCATCAAATGTCTTTCTTCCCATTCTGCTGCAGCCATAGGCTTGCTAATTTTTTTTTCTTCCTCTGTACAGTGGCAGTGTTATGTATATGTTGAGACAATGGTTAAATCATCTCCCACCATATCTTTATGTACACATAACTATTTTGTCATTTTGCCCAATGCATTCAGCGATTTCATGGTTTGAGAATCCACCCTTTCTCTGTTAATTTTTTTTTATTATTCTGTTTTTTGTTTACAATTCCCCCCCCTGCTGCATGTATTTTACACATGCAAAGCAAGAAAAATTAAATATACTAATTTATTCTTCAGGATATAATTCTTTATGGGTCTTTTCTCATACCCATCAGATTAGGTGAGGTAAATTTATTCGAATACAGCATACGAGAGCTATCTGCTTAAGAGGGCTTCCTTTGTGGAGGACTTTTTAGCAGAAACTAGCTCATGTTTATATTGCAAGCCATGAAATGGAAAGCCATGCAGTTTAGCCCATTCTGTGGGATTGAACCTAAGTCAAAATCCGAGTATTTAGCAGTCTATTTGACCACTGACTAACTAACTGGTCTAACTATTCGGGTACTGACCCACCAGGTTTGCTCTAAACCAGACTGCACGTACATGCTATTTATATATACAGTTTAACCTGTAATCATTTGCGTTTTATGTGATAAAAAATTCATCCATTAAATCTCTGTTCAGTATAGTGACTCTTTCTTGGTCTTTCAATTTGACTGAATAGCTGTATGAAACTTCTGAAAAACTATACTTTATAGAAGTTTATTTTATATTTGCTGAGAAATAAAAGCTTTGAAAATACAGAGTTAAAATATTATAATGTTTTTTAATATATCACTTAGAGTGAGCAAAAATTTCTGAACTAGTTAAGTTTTTAAAAGTTTCCAGAATTTAATTTTGTATTTCATAGATTGTGTATTGTTGTGATAGAAGTATAAAATTTCATTATTGGCAACATTATTTTCATTTTGTGCCTTTTTTTATGAATATCAATAAAAAAGCACAATTTTGTTATCAGTTATTTTAGAGAGGGTGTTTCCACATTTTTAGAAAAATTTTAATAAACAATTTTTTTAAAAAAAATTTTGGAATAAAAATTTCTGGCAACAACTTGTTATTTGAAATGAGATATATAGTCTGCTACTTTATTTTTTCAAATTATTACATCAAACAAGCTGTAGACTGAATGATATGTTTTTGCACTTTCTAAAAAACAAAATTTCTATTCCATAATTTCAAAATGTTGAGAAATGCATGGTATTAATATTTCTAAGTGCAAATTAAGCAACATTATTAATCAAAAAGGGAGAAACTATCAGTCATAACTTTTAAATGGAAAGAAGACTCCAAAGGAAAACTGAAAGTGGTACATAATGTTTCAAATGTTTCTATAGTTAAATCATTGGTAACAAGAAAAAGTGCACTGACACAGAAATCAATTGCAGAGTTTTTAAATACATCTATAGCTACAATAAATAAAATAATATAATAAGACTCATAAGCTATTTTGCAGGAGATGAATAAAAATACCTTTTGACCCTTAAATAAAGCATGGGTTTTTTCTAAATGACTGCAACAAAAAAAAAGGTATATTTATTATTGAAGATGAAGAGAGAAAATGTATACAAACCCATCAGTGTAAAAGAAAGTTTCAGAAAGGGATTCTTGATTATTGCAGGAATATATTACAGTGGGGAATTAAAAATAAGAAGAGTGGGAAAATGTTTAATTCAAGTCAAAATGTTATCAAGAGAAAGTTTCGCATCTGACATTTACAGAAGAAATTCCTTTTCTTTATCCCAGGGACTTCCAGACGAAGCAGCAAGTTGTACTTTGAAAAGTATCACTGGATTCCTAAAAAAAAAATAATAAAGACTAATTCATGTATTTCATGTATACTTTTTCAACGTATTCCTACTCTGCCATTTAACCTATAGACTATTGTGCCTTTCGCCTCTTGCAAATAGCTCTTTCTAAGTGCAAACCCGCCACAGTTGATGGACTCTGGAAAATAGTGGAAGAGGAATGGATATCAGTACCCATGAAAATTATACAAAAAAAAAAAATGTATCATGGAAATCATGATGTAGACTTATAGTCAGAAAAAAGGCTATCAGATCAAATATTAAGAAAAATCCTCTTTACATATTAAGTGTTAATTAAATGGCCCCAAAATTGGTCTGAAAATGTGTTAACAATCTCTTTATTGCATCTTTTTAGCTAGTATAAATTTTTTTGCCAATTCTATAAACATTAAATATTATAAGATCAGATGGGAAAAAGCTATTTAACTGTTAAATCTGAAAGAGAATATGTATGGAATATGTTTCGAGCATATGTATGGTTTCCCTTACTTATCTGGGTAATGTTGATATTTGCAGAAGTTCATTTGTTATGTATATCTAGATACGTATGCTCAATATACTTCATTCACCTGGCTGGAAGTGACATAGTAAAATTTTAAAGTAACATATCTCCTGAGCATAGATTGACATAGCTTCCAAATGGTCTCCTGTGTTATTTCTTGCCAAATTTGCTCCAATTGTTGGGCTAGCTCATCAACATTCTGTAGTAGATGCACTCGCCTTCCCATCATATCCCAGACATGCTTGATGGGAGAGAGATCTGGCAATCTGGCTGGCCAAGGAAATGTTTGACAAGCTGTAAGACAGCTCATAGCAACACGTGTGGTCAGGCATTATCTTGCTGAAAAATAAGGCCAGGGTACTGCAAAAGGAACGGTAGCAAAATAGGTCTCTGAATATCTTAGACATACCTCTGTGCTAAGTGTGCTTCTAATGACAACTAGAGGGGTCCGGCTATCAATGGAAATGGCACCCCAGACCATAACTCCTGGATGAAGGCCTGTGTGGCATACAGTAGTGAAACAGGATTAGCACGCTACTCTGGGCATGGCTTTGATAATCGTCACGGCACAGTTGGAAGTGGGATTCGTCACTAAAGACTATATGGCCCCAATCAGCGTCATTCCAATCTGATCGAGCCAAGCACCACTGTAATCTGGATCAACAGTGTGCAGGTGTGAGTGACAGGCAGTGTAAAGGTTTTTATAAACGTAGATTTCGCTCTATCATCCGTCTGTATATGGTCATAATGGACACTCAGTTGCGGGTCGCACCTCTGGTGGTTGATAGTGATGAATCAGGTACTGTGACAGCTGATCTGACAATCATTCTGTCCTCCCGATCCGTTGTGGCCCTAGGTCAACTGCTACCATCATGACACTGAAATCTGCCATTGTCCATCGATTCTTGCCAGTGTCTTTTAATTGCCGCATCACTTCGACTCGTATGACGAGCGATGCTCCGATTTGCTTAACCTGCCTCTTTCAATCCAATGATATGATCTCTTTGAAACTCTGACAGCTGCTTGTAATGAGCTTGAATTCTGCAGCAAGGCATTTTTTTCAGTCGTTGAAAGGTATCCTATATCACAATGCAACAAATTTTTTACAACAGTTCAAGAAGAGCTCCTTATATACATCTGCTGGATGTGCAGTTCAGATGTGCTGGAGATTGCACTATTCATTCATTGGACACCAAATTTTAATCATTTGCTTATTTGTTCAAAACATTTAAGCATACAACATTTCAAAGCAATTGGATAATTCTTTTTTTTTTTTTTTTTTTTTTTTTTTTTTTAATAATAATAGAGTCTATTCAGTAGGCATATGAGTAAAAAGTAAGGGTTTGATATCCATTTCTTGTTCCATTTTTTCCTAGGAAATTAACAGATTTTGATGTTTGGCTTCTTGATTTGTCTTGATGCAGTTCTGTTGATTGATGCCATTGTGGGTAAAGAGAAGGTATTTAATATTTGAAAACTGGGTACAAAATATGTTCCTGATAATATGTGGAGTTGATCTTAACAGTTTTCTGCACTCTCTTTAATTTTTATTTGCTGTTATATCAAAAACCTGCAACAATCATAAATCCATTTGAAAAATTTTCTTTAGATTCTTTGAAGATATTTCTAAGATTTTTTTTTTTTTTTTTTTTACATTAAAGTTCTTTGCAACACTTGCTTGTGGAATAATGCTTTTGGAACAGTGTTTTCACTTGAAGCCAAACTTTGATCTTTTTATCTTTCTTGTTGACAGTATTGCCTATCGTAGCTTTAGATATCGAAAAACCATGACTTTTACAGGATATTTTAATAACTAGATATGAATAATTTTCTTTGGGAAGAACACAAACATAGTTTTTCATCCTTTGCTTCTTTAAAAGTGCCATTTTTCATGATAACAAGACTGTCAAGTAGCAGACAATAATTATACTTTCAAAAATAAAGTTGTAGTTAAAAAATAATTTCCAAGCAGACGACTTTGTTTTATAACAAAGCAAAATCATCTAAAAAAGTGTGTGTGTTTATACATACATGCATATCTGAATACAGTCCTGGCAATAGAAAAGTGCCAATTTATTTAGTAAAATAATTTATAACTTATTTTGTTTTTGAAGTATTGCTGATAAATTATATTAAAATTTTTATTAAATTTTGATTATTTTTAGGCTTGGGACTCTGATCCTGAAATAAAAATGGTTATTGTAAAAGGATCTGGAGATCGAGCATTTTGTGCTGGAGGTGATGTGAGAGGTAAAATTTAGTTCCTTGTCACTCTGTTATGCATATACAGAGTTTCTAAAATTGCCTTAAAAAGACATGTTTAAGGTTTTGCATTTTGTCAGATGTATTTCGTTTAATTAACTAGAATTTTAGTTTTTCATTAATCTCAAATGCATTGAAGATTTATTGTTTTGTGTTGAAGTTAATGTATTAAAAGAAACATTAATTATATTCTTATACTGTATGTAGTTAAAGCTATAATAAATATACGGCGAATGAAATTGTGCTATCAAAGAATAAAATAACCTTGTAATAATATACAGTCAAAAGTCGTTAATCCGGACTCGTCGGGACTTTGGCGATTCCGGATTATCGATTTTTCCGGATTATAGATCATCAGTTTCAATCTCATAAGATGGCATGCAGAAATTTTAAAATTAAAAATATGAAACTGTAATTTATGAAATAAAGAACAATTATGATCTAAAGAGTATCAAAATTTACAAAAAAAAAAAAAGCTTAATATTTATTTGTTTACTTTATTAAACCTTTCTTTCAATGTAAGTTGTTTAAGTTGCTTCGTTTTATGTGATAATACTTTCTCTTTAATTCTATAAACAGATATACTTTCTTGTTCAGTTGCTTACAAAGTTCTGCTGTTCAAGTCCCGTAATTGCTGTGCCGAGAATACCTACTAACTTGTCAATCGAAATTTTTTCGTTTTCACTAACCTCTCTGTCATCTTCTTCATGTCTTTATCCATTTTTTGCAGCAATTCCACTTTTTGTTTGATGGACATCGAAATATACTTTCGTTTTGTAGATCCTTTGGAAGCTCCAGCATCAGAAATTCTATTTGACATAATCGAAAGTTCAAGTTTACTTTTATAAAATTGCTCTGCAGTCTGCAAAAAATAATAAGCCGGATCCAATTCGAAGATTAAGGAACAACGCAATCATCAACATTAACTGAAATAGATAATTAGATAATTTTAGCTTATACCGTCCGTCATACATTAAACGCACACGCGAAAACGAATTCTGCACTTGCGCACACACATATGCGCAGTCGTAAAGGTCTTATGCGCACACGTAAAGGCCTATGCGCATGTGTCAACGCGGCGCATGCGCAGAAAGTTTTTAGCTTTGAGGTCCGGATTATGGGTGTCCGAATGAACGACGTTTGACTGTATACTATTTTGATGTCGTGAATGTAATAATTTTAGGTGTTGTAGGTATTTTTAACTGAAATAGTTTTATAATTATGACAGTTATAGAGGTAAATGCAAACTTTTATACTTAAATAAATTATATTTATACTTATTAAAAATATACTTCTTTAAAAATTATGTAAAAGTATGAGTTTAGAAAGCAGTGTCTACTTCAGCATGTGTGTTTCTCCTCTGTATCGTAGGTTAACATGTTCTGTCTCCCGTTTGGCAGCACTTGTTGAAGCTCATAAGGCTGGGAACACAAGCTTGGCTGAGGACTTTTTTCGAGAAGAATATCAACTCAACAATCTAATTGGTAAGTTCATAGTAGTATATATTGACCTAATAGATATATGATAATTTACTTTAATCTTACTATTTATATAATTCTGTAAAATGCTTTTTGATAGCATACTAGTGATCATAGTCCTTTTACATGCTCATTATTGTGTGGCTTTGAAAGAATTACTCTCTAGTTAATTGTTATTCATGTTTTAAATTAAGTGGCAGTGATTGGAAGCCCTCCTTTTTGCCTTGTATTGCATACAGGATAATGTCTCCAATAGTTTTTTATTGCTAAGATAAAACTATATATTTTTTATTAATTTTTTGCCTAAAAAGCTGTATTGATATTTGATATTGAAAATGTCATGACAAATGTTAAAAGGTAAATATGAGCTGAGGCTTCAAAAGTTGCACCTTGTGGAAGTTTCATGAAAAGAAATTCTGATGATTTGTTTCATGATTTTTCAGTAATATTGAAGTATGCACTCTTAAAATGTATTGCATAGACATGGCATAACAATCTTAACTATACTAGCAATGCAAGGAACTATGCATGACTAGTTTTATATAGGATTGTAATAATAATTTTCTTCAAATATAGTGTTATATAGGATTTTTTTTATTAAAAATCTGCAGAAAAAGCCTAAATAAATCATCGAAATAAGAAGGAAATGGAGCAGCAAACCTCCTGCAAATATGAGCAACTTTCATTATACTACTGTATGAAGCCTTCCCCTCTGACATATTTTCCTGCTCTGCTATTTTTGTCGGCTCAGTGAGATTGTTACTTGTATGTAATTCTAGGTGTTTCACTGTTTTAAACATGCTAATAAAAACTGTGCTTTTGTGAGTAAGTTAAAAATTTTTTGTCACCGTATTAAAATACTTTTTTTTTAAGTATGCTGCTTGCTGCTATTAAAATGCTTTTTAAAATTATACGAGTTATATTTTAGAGGCAGTAACTGAAATTGCAGCAATATGTATCATTAGTAAGAAGTCCTCCAACTAATAAACAACCTACAGCAAAAATTAAAAAAAATAATGGATTAATATCTGTGTAAAATAATTTATAAAACTTCTAAAATTAATTTTTATACTTAATGGAAAATAGTGATGAATTCTATGAAACATTATGAAGATCACTCATTTATAACAGAAACTTGAATTTTATCTGAAATTTTAAAAGATATATTCCTTGAAGACACTTTTTCCATATTGATATCCTCAAAATATATCTGGCTGTAATGAAAGTTTTCTGCCAAAAAAAAGTTTTTAATAAAGTTAGAAGAAACATGAAAACAGTACCTTTAATGCTGGTAGTAATCACCACCCAAATCTATGATTTTCTGCTTAAGTTTTGATATTTTTTCAAAGCCTTTGGGCTAAAAACTTGGTAAGCGTGAGTCCAAAAACAGATCAGCGTCATTTTAGACGTCCTGTGCAGAATAGAAGATAGCACTCTGCAGGTGTAAAAGGGTGGAAGTCCAAAGAAGCGATGTCAGGCTATATAGTGGGTGTGGCAAGACATCCCATTCGAGTCCATACAGAGCCCAGCCGGTGAATGCAGACACATGTGGTCTTCCATTATCTTGATGGAACATTGCCTTTTTATGCCAGAACTCAGTTCAATGTTTTTTCTTGATAGCAACGTCAACATGGACTAGCAACTAGCTATACACCTTATTATTGAGGTTTTTACCTTTTTACAGGTACTCTTTGTGGATAATACCATGGCAATCCCACCAGATACAGAGCATAATCTTTTTGTTAGTCAAATTGTGTTTTGCGATGCTGCCGATGGGCTCACCAGACACAAATCAACTCCCTCTTCAACTTTTGCTGTTGAAGTAAATTCACTTTTCATCACAAATGGCAATCCGGTCCAGAATTTTGTCCTTGCATTGATACTTGGCCGGCCAGAGCGCTATGCTTCTTGAATGACATAATCCTTGTTTTTCAACTTTCAGTTCCAAACCTTAACAATGTCATTTGCTACAAAATTTTTACCTAAAGCTGTACACATTATTTGGTGACATTCTGTAGACTTCTTGCAACAGAACTTGAAGTAAGTGATGATTCTATAGTGTGATAACTCCATTTCAGACACTTTAATGACAATGATATATTTTTACAGATGTCACAACACAGTGTTTTAAAGCAAGTCTCTTTCAAATACCAAAAGTCAGTTGACAAAATATGATTAAACATGCCAACGTGAACTGTTTGCACAAACGATATTTGTGGTGGCTGAAAAATTTTCGTTAAAATCGGATATTATATTTATACTTTAGGATAATCATCATCTAGGGATTAACATGTAACAAAAAAATTATGTGATTTTAACTTTGGAATTTTGCATGTATAATAAAACAGTTTAATTCTGTAAAAATGCTAATTCAACACAACATTAATTTGAGTAATTTAAAATTATGTGATTAAAATCGCTTCATTTTTCCTTTACAAATAATCAGACTTAAACCATGCTATAGATATCATTATATGTATGTTATTCATTAAAAAGTTAAGAAATAACATTTAAATAACCTCACATTCATTATATTCAGCATTATCTTATCTCAAATATCTTTGTGCATAGAAGTGATGTTCCTGTGGAAAGCTTTAACCCTAATTTTTTATGTGCAACAGTTTTTTTAACATCCATTACCAAAACATTTAAAAATTTTAAATGTTTAATAATTAAAAAATTAAACTTAATTTTAAATTAAAATTAAATTTTAAAATATTGAAAATATGGTATGAAAGAGAGTATCATCAATGCCAATAGTAGCCCATTATGATAAAATAATGGACAACGGCTGATTTAAGAAAGGGACTGTAAAGTGAAAATAGTCTTCGGCCTGAGATTGGGGGCACAATGTCCTCTCATTTTGCTTCTTAAGACCATGAAAGAAATGCCACTTCATAATAAATTGTAATGATAGACTGTCTACTGTACTGCACATGTTAACAGGTGACTTAATTTAGCAGCATTTGTAGCTAGTGTAGGTCACATACGAGAATCTAGATCTTAATGCCAATTTAATTTGTTTTGAATTAGAATTTTTAAATCAGAGAGTTAAGTATGACCAAGATATTGGTCTCTCAGTTCCAGATTTTTGCAAAATTCTTTTCTAATTATAATTTTTATTACTTTTCAGTTTGTTATTTATCATCAAAATTAGTATTTAAATTTTAGAAAGTATTGTATATTTTGTGTGTATGTGTGTGCTTTTATTATTTTGTATTTTTGAAATTATGTTTCATTTTTAAACGTAAAATATAGCTGTATATTTGTATTATCTAGGTACTCTTCAAATTCCATATGTTGCAATAATTGATGGAATAACCATGGGTGGGGTGAGTAGTGAAAATTTTTATGTGAGAGTTTAATAATTTGGTCATGGAAGATGTGAATAAATAAGCATCAGTATAATCATATTAAGTATTTTTCCTTTTTTCACTGCACTTTTTTTTTTTTTTTTTGTAGGGATTATCAACATTAATTTTAAAGTTACTTATGATAGCATATGCTGTGAAAAGCTGTTTGAAGCCATTCTGGAATTCAGATTTCCTAGGAAATTGTTGAGCTCTCTAAAATGACTTTAAAGAGAGTAAATTGCATAGCTAAAATCGTGTCTGATGCTATACCACAAAATACATTATTCTAAAATCTAGTGTATGCATCCAGACATCTCAGACAATATATTATTTTATAGTGAAACACAGAATAAAACTGTCTATAACATATAAGCTAAATAATAAAATGTGTCATTGTATATTAAAATATAACATAACCTGGTAACTAGTTCCGTTGGTGTAAAACTAACTAGTAAAGGAACAGGCTTGTATAGTTAAGACAAATATTAAACATTTATTTACTATGAAAAACACAAATGATTTTACAAAATGTGTTTATGTAGGTAAAATTAGGATTTTCCTATGTACACTCAAATTTAGCACAGAAAGATAAGAAAACTTAAGATATACCTTTTGTTTTTAATATAAATTGGAATTTTGGCTAACATCCAAATATCTAGTATTACCAAAAAATATTACTGGCAAATATATTCTCTGCAAGGTAATGACATTCAATTGATATCTAGTGAAAACTATAAAGACCAGTTGACACAGGAGACACAATAATAAGGTAATTTAGACTAGCATATATCCACACATATTATCCATTACAAGAATAGGCATAACAAAATTTTAAACCCCAATATTAATTCTGGAATTTCACATGTTAATCATTACAAAACAGAATTATATGAATGGGATAAATTTCAACTACCAATTTTTATTTAAAAAAAAAATTACACTTAGTGATGATTAAGAAATTTTGTACCAACATCTTCCTTTTTCCCCCATCGATAAAAATAGCTGAAGCTGGGTCCAACCTTTTCACTCTCTTCACAACCTCCATAATATTCATGACTGCCTAATACCTAATCTGTGAAAACATAATGAAGAAATAAGGAAATGCCTGATAAGGAAAATCAGTAGAAACTTTTTCTTTCTTCTGGTGGATTTTCAAATGGCACAGTGGCCCTCGTCCTTTTCACCATGTCACTTCCATCTTAATTTTCTTCACAAAATATCAGACAACAGTTTCTGTTTTCTGTTTCGAACCCCCTGCCAATGCTCTTATTCCCTCTGCGATAATTTTCTTTCAAAGTGAGGAAACTTTCCCCCATTCTCATCCAACAAACCCAAGAGGGTTACCAACCACTATCAACATTAGTGGTGCTTCTTAGGAGAAGCGTTGACAGGGAGTTTATCATAAATTGGCACACATCGCTCCTTCTTCCTCCTCTGCAGTCCAAGGACTCCAGATAAGGTCAACAACCCAACCACCTCCTCATGTAGGCCTCCAACTTTGCAGGTTTTTTGAAAACAAGGTATTCCTATCACCAGCCTTCTTTTACCAGGGACACATGCTGGAAACCCCAATTTTTGCTCCCCCCCCCAATGGAGCATCCATTGCAGTATAACCTAATGTATTTCTAGCTTCTCCACAGTGTCTCATTTCTACCAGACAAATATGTTTTTCAAAACTTTGGAAATAAAAAGTTACCTTGAAGAGAAAAACCTGCCCCTCCAAGTGATGACAGATAAAATTAGGATTCAGACACTGCTTACAGCTTAAGAAAATACTTTTGAACAATTTTATATACCAAATTTCTCTATTGCATAGATGTTTTACTATATTGCAAATTGTCGAAACTACCATCTGAATGAGAAAATAAAGCTTGAATAATTTTACAGGAAGGAGGGGGGGATTAAAACATAAATTAAATTAGCAAAACAGTTTAAACACCAATCAATAAAACATAAAATCAAAAATTTTAAATTAATAAATCTTAAGGGTCATACCAAATCAACAACAATAAATTCAAAACAATAAAATCAGGCTTAAACAAAAGTAAGTTATCAAACAGAAATTAAATAATTAAAATTTCTCCTTAAAAGTTAATAAGATTAAGTTAATCAATTACAACTCGCATCACAACTTTTAAATAATATGGTGTACAACTAGTACACCATATTACACAAAAGTACCTAAAGCTGTACACATGATTTTCATGACATTTTGCAGCTGATGTTTTGCAACAGAACCAGAAGTAAATGTTGGTTCTAATCTGGTAGATACTTCCATTTCAGACACCTTGTACTTAATGATAATATTTTTTTACAACACAGTGTTCTAAAACATGTCTATTTCTTTCAATTGCCGAAAAAAGTTTAACAAAATATGATTAAACATACAAATGCAAACTGTTTCCACAGACAATATTTTTGATGGTGGGAAACTTTGATTAAAACCTGATACATATATATAATAGTGAGCCTAAAAAAAGTTTAATGAGAAAGTGTATATGACTTGTTAGTCCCTGAGGAACTATTGTTTTTGTTTTGCAATTTTGCGTCAAATCACTCTAAATGTCAGTTTCACTATTTAAACTGTTGCCACCAAATATTATCGCCCTGTATTATATTTGAAAGAATTAAATAATGAAGTATCTGCATAAATGTATGGTATGTTTTTTTCTCACATTGTGATAAAACAACTGTACCTAGAGTCATTTAATTTTGAATGCTGTAATCCTACTGCAAATATGGGCAAAATATGGGCAAACTCAAATGGAATTTGTTTTTCTATCAATTGCATAATTTGTAAAACTTTAACGAATTTTGATTAACAAACTCAATGATTTCAAAATGAGCATTGGCAACATTGTACAGAAAAAACATTTTTATCTCCAGCGTATAAGACTGTGTATTGGAAATTTTAAAGATATGCTGAATTTAAAATTATTTTTCAATATAGCTCTTGAACTGAATTTTATGGTTTAAATGCGAAGAACATGATATTTAATAAGTAAAGGTAACACACAAAGTGTTAAAAAAAAAAAAAAAAAAAAAAAAAAAAAAACCTTTTGGATATAATTTAAAATCTGAAACCTTTCAGATTTTTTTTCCCCTTAATTGAATTTGATCTAAGTAGTGATTTGCATATGCATTGAAATTATAGCATAATAAAGTAATTGAATTAATCTTATGAAGAGCAAATTGTATGACCAAAAGGATCATTGTCTGAGTTGCATTTAAAAAGAAAAATAATAAATTAAAAATAAGTATTCATGCTTTGTTGTATCATTTGTTCAGTTCCCTCCTCCTCTTTTAAATTGCATTTTTATATTTTTAATGGTATGAAAGCTTTTATTGAAAAAGTATGAATGAATGTGTTTACTTTATAGCATATCTTGTCATTAATTATATTTTAAATGCAAAACTTAGAATTACTTTTAAAATTTTTAACTGAAATTTGAAAACAAGCATCACATTAAAAATCACATTAAAATTTTCATCTTCTTTCAGGGTATAGGAATTTCTGTGCATGGAGCTTATAGAGTCTGCACTGAAAGAACAGTTTGTGCTATGCCAGAAGCTGCAATTGGTAACTTTTGTTTCAGTTACAGTACACAATAAGATATAAAATAATAATATATAATAAGAGTGCTATATTATATATAATAATTTCATGTTAAAATGTACAATGTATTATGGCTGTCAGTCAGTTCTTTCAGAGACTTTTCATCAGATTTCTTAATTGTAAGGATGCAAAGCCAAGTCTGAGTCTTTTATGCTAAGAGTAATGAAGTAAAATCTCAAGCAAAACAAATATGAAATAAAAATAATATTTTCAAATGTCCTTATTTGATGTGAAATAAAAAATTTACTGCTAGCATTACTCAGTAAAAGCAAACATTAATAAAGAACTCTAAGTGATTGTGATAACAAGAAATTAGCTATTTAAACTTTCACTTTTTTCAATAAATGGCAAATAGAATTACTACTCGTCAAGATCAAGACAGGTTTTGAACCAGCTTCTCATGCAGGGAATCTCTAAATTGTATAATGAAGAACATCATTCATCTATAAATTTGGAGAGCCTCAAATATTTCAAAGATCCAAAAAAAATTTTATGACAATATAAATTTTAAATTTCATTAATTAATAAAATATTTGTATCACTGTTGAAATACTGGCATGAATTTATGTCACCATTCACTGCATTTCAAATACAGTTAATGCAAATGCTTCTGTTTCATGCATCAAAATTTACCTTTTTCCTCTCACTAAAGTAGTGAGTGCTGACTTGAAATCAATTAAGGACATCTTAAGGAGCATAACAGTAGATAATTATTAATCTAGGTAATAAGTTTATGCATGGTCCCTCTTCCCCCCAAAAAAATATATTTGAAGTGAATATTTTCTAAAATCTGAAATGGTCTTGTGCCACAGATTTTCTAATGAGCATCTTTTTCTAAGTATAAATGTTTAACTTAGTTTGTAATGTGATGTTTTCAAAATTTCTTGCAGTATAAAGAAAAAAGATAATTTTATCACTCATAATTGTAAAGAGGTAATTGTAATTTCTCTCTATCGTTGAAGAGTGGAAAGAAATTTCATAGCCTACTAATTTTCAAATTAGACATCTAGTAATACTGTAGTTTTTGTATTGCTGCAAGGTTTTTACCATAATCATGAGATTTCATTTTTAATGTAGATGGTAGTATACATAGGAAGAAGTGTGAAGAAAAATTTATAGCAGAAAATAATTATGTATAATTTAGGCATGCATTATATGTCATTTGTAGATATGCTAATGGTACACAGATCTTGATTTTCTTATTGTGCTTAATGTGTTGTATTATTTAGAATCAATTCTTAGTTATTATTTTCAGCACCAAAAGTGTATTATCAATATATTCACAGTTGCTCTTTTATTTCTTCAAATTTCTTTTCACTGTCTAAGATTCATTTTATAATTAAATAATGTTAAGAAGAGTTATAGATATCCCTGGCAGCTTTATGAAATGGGATAGTTTTCTATGTTAACTAATAAAATTTTACTGAGTATCCGATTAAATTAATTAAGTATCTGATAATAGTCATGTAATTGATAAAGACATGCTGATTTTTACTGATACTTTGCTTTTCATTATCATCTGACCATTTCAGTTGAATTGTGTTAGAATAATTTTCTATTTGGCTTTAAATCATTGCTAATGCAAAATGAGAACACCATTTAGGGAATTTTAATTGCCAGGCTAATTTAACAGATAAATCTATAAGCCAGTGCTTCCTATCATTTTAGTCCCTTAACCCACATGCATATTGTTGGTCTGAAAAAAAGATGCTGGTTACACTGCAGAAATATCCCACTACTTACAGGGGCCAATTTATGCTGCTACTTGTAACATTCCCAAATTTGCTTTTTTTTTTTTTTTTTTTTTTTTTTTTTTCCTTCTATGAAGTTGTGTTACTAGTTAATTACTCCAGCATATTCTGTGATTAGGCTACAGAATTTTTTTAAGATTTTGACAATTTTTAGCAACAACCTTAAATCAGAATTAAACTATTTAGATTACATAAATGGAGCTAATTTGTTATTAATAATTAATTTTATGTTATAAGAATAATTAAGAAAAATATACTACTATTTTAATGTTATATTTTTATTCGTTAGCTAAAAAATACATTTGTCAGTCTGTTATATTTTTATTCAGTATTTTGCAATTTGGATTGATAACTTGTTGAACTAACTTTTTCATTATATATCTTGCAGGCTTTTTTCCAGATGTAGGTGGGAGCTATTTTTTGCCAAGGCTTCCCGGAAAAATAGGGCTTTTTCTTGCACTCACGGGTTATCGACTTCAAGGTCGAGATGTTTTTAAAGCTGGTATTGCAACCCATTTTGTAGACACAACAAGTGTAAGTTTTGTTATGATCTTTTTTGTTATTGTTATTTTGAAAAGTTTTTTGCCATTTTTTATTAGCTTTCTTTTTGATAAATATACTCTAGATGTGGATATTAGGGGCAGTATCACTCTTTTTTTGTGTACTTTTCAAATGGTGTACAAGGTTTAGGATTTGAAAATATTCCCAAATATTCTTTTAAATTCTGGTTTTTCACGTCATTTATGTGAAAAATATTAAAATGCTGTTTCATTATTGAATAGAATTTTTTTATTGTCTTATAATAATAATGCATATCTGCCAGCAATAATATTGCATAAGTTTTACTGAGAGTAGAGGCTTTTCATGACATCTTGTAGTCTCCTGGTGGATTACCAATCTTCCAGCTTTTAATTTTTAACTATTAGTAAGAAAATATACTAAGGGAAATGCTTTCCAGCAATAAAGGAAATTTATTGAATTAAATCAAACTTAAATTGGGTAATTTCATTCTTCTACTTCTGATGATTTTCAGCATAGTTTTTTGTATTTTAGCATAGTTTTTCATTCTTTTAATCTGCTACAAACATTTGTAAAAAATTGTTTTAGCATTTAACCAGTATACAGTCATTTGGTGTTTATATTTCATTTTGTTTTACATCAATATGTGGCACATTAATACATTTATCTACACAATAGTATGTACGCTGCACAAAAAAAGAGGGGGGGGACAGTTCTATATCTCCCTTTCTTCTGGGTTGATTGACGAAATTCAACTTGCGTTTTTCATGTCTCGAAAGCAAGACTTAGAATATGTATTAGATTTATATATTCTATACCAAATTTTACAGAATTTAATATTTTGGCTTAATTTGAGTCATAGAATCGAAATATGGAAAAAAATTGGTATGTCAATTCAGAAAAAGTCCGATCAAGTGTCAAAATACCTGTATTAAAGCAATGCTATATATAAAACTAATCTATATCCTAAGTCACACTTTCGAGACATAAAAATGCAATTTGAATTTCATCAATCCGCATAGTAGAATGGGAGGTATAGAACTGTACCCCTTTTTTTTTTTTTTTTTTTTTTTTTTTTTTTTTTTTTGCCAAACAAAGCTGATAAACAAAAGCTTTCCTTCTTTACTTGGAATTTTCACACTATAAAAATGTAAGAAAATTACAGAATGAAATTAACCAAAGAATATAAATTTTAGAATAATTAATATCTTTAGTTAAATATTAACATATTTTACATAGAACCATTAAAGCTCTGTCCGATAATGTTATTTTAAGTTTCAACATCCATGCACAGAGTGTTTAATCACTTTCAACATGGAGTGTTTTAATCCATGCATAAGTTTATTTGAGACATATATGGCTGTCTCTCTTTATTACTGCAGCTATACACATGTGTTCTTGTAAATTAACTGAAACAATAGTGTCTCATGTCATTATTACATGAGATGCAATCATTAAACATGGTTATGAATAAAGTTCATTTACAGTGCTGTATTTTGTGTGAATTCTAGCAAACCAAAAAAAAAAAAAAAAATACCATAGAAGCATATCAAAATTTAATGAAAGTTTTTGGTGGAGATGTAGTTTCAGATAGAATATTCAGAAAAGAATTCGAAAAATTTGAAGCAAGTGATTTCGACCTTAATGATAAGCTAAACTCTGGGCCCCTATCTGTCATTAATGACAATATTGTCAAGACCATAATAGAGCAGGATCTTTTTTTTTTTTTTTTTTTTTTTTTTTTTGACAACATTGGAGATTACAGAAAAGTTTAACTCAGTTCAACCATTTCAGACCATTTCTATTTATTAAGTAGAATTGCTCTATACATACTCTAGATGGCTGGTTGATAAGTTAAGTGAGAAAGATTTTCGTGATTTAGTCATAATTATGCAAATTTATGCATATTTGGAACAAAAACGAATCCTTCTTTGACCAGATGATAAGTGTGAAGAAACGTGGATTACCTACGAAAACATCGTTAGGAAAGGCATATTGTGAGTGCATACAGTTTTCTTTCTCTATATCTAAACTAAGCTTGAGCCTAAATAAGAAAATACTATGCATCTAATGGAATGTCCAACGACTAATATATTATGAGCTTTTGAAACCTAATGAAAAGCTCAATTTGGAGAGATGCTGTCAACAAATGAGTTAAACTCGTTTACTGACAGGTGAATGCAGGGCCCGGACGGCTTTATATGACAAATCGGGTGTCGTCCGGTACCCGAGGCTGCTGCATCTGGAATTTTTTAATGGAGAATATGAGGTTTTGGCATGGCCAAACAAAGACGTATGCATATATGCTTCAGCATACAATTAATAAAAATTCCTACATAGGTACATTGGCTGGTATAGGTACATTGGATACATATGTATATTGGCCTAAATGGTTAATGAGATAGGCGAACAATAAACACGTATACAGTAAAAGAAATGATACATTGATAATGTAAATGGTGCAAATTAATACTAGAAACGATACACTGAAGATGATACTTGTAGATGAATATGAAAGATGACGATTCATAAAAATACATGAACATAAATTGTCCTACATGGCTATGTATACCTTTAACACCTATACATTAAAAAAAATGATACACTGAATTGTGTATTAATGCAAAAAGTGATAATTAATGATTATACATAATCGTGTGTTATCCTACATAGCAATACAGACATTAGTATAAATAATACTACGCTTAAACACTGATACATTACTATAAATGATACACTGAAAATGGTGCTTGTACAGTAAAACGATATATAATGATTAGTGATAGCACATAATCCTGTGTTATTCTACATGGCTTTACATACATATACAGAGAGGGTACACTTAAATGAATGATGTAAGTGCATTGGATACATGAGTGCATTGATCTAGGTAGTTAATAACTTGAGTAATGGTATGCAACAATTGTTGATGATGCACTGGTGATTAATGAAATAATGAATGACAATTAATGAAGGTACATTATCACGTTATCCTACATGGCTATACATACATGAATATAATTGAAACACTTGGTACGGATAACTTTCAGAGCTTGATATAAGTCCATTGGACATAAGCACATTGCCATAGGTACATTGGATATATAGGCTGGTTGTGTGGAAAGGACAGAGTTATGGTTAAGCCGACTCACACATGTCCTGGTCTAATGGCTGCAGTCTGTACATAATACTTTTGAGTTTTTTAAGTACTACTGATTGGCAAATAAAGAATCTTTTATATGCTGGATCTGTGTTGTTAAACGGCATCTGCCACTCTCGTGTTAGTGGGCAGGAGGTGACATAGTGATTCAGGCTACCTGGCTGGCCACACACACACAGATGTTGGTGTTTGTTATTCCTCATTCTAGAAAATATTCTGGAAATGGACCATGACCCGTTATAAATCTGGTGATGTGTGGCTGAGATATCTGTTTGTAAAGACTGACTTTGTGAGTGAATTAATAGGTCCTTCTTCCGTGCAGAATAGAATTCCACTCTTCCTGCCATTGCTTGAGTGTGGCATTTAAAACAGCCTTATTTACATAGGATTTTGGTAACTTTATTGCCAGTTGATCTGCATCGAGATTGCTCGCGTCTTCTTTGGCTAGTAAGTCTGCCTCCTCATTTCCCTGGTGTCCAGCTTGTGCTTTAATCCAGAAGATGAGGATGCGTCCTTCGCACTGTCACAGGGTTTGCTGAATATGCCCTGTGATGGGCAACCTGTGAAAATGATTCCGAATTGCATAAATTGCTGACAGGCTGTCAGTGTGTATATGTGCAGTGGAGTAGCTAAATTCACTCGCTGCTAGGGTTGCTTGGCATATGGCTTCAGCTTCTGCCTGAAAGACTGAGTTGCCTGCGCCCAGAAAGCCTTTCCAAGACCTTAAGGTGCTTCCATTTCGTTTGATGGTGTAGCTACAGCCCATCATTCTATTTACCTGGGAGCCGTCTGTTTAAATCCTAAAGCCATTAGTGTTATCATTGTTGTCTTCAAGCATTGTTGCGTAAGCATGGACATTCTTGCAGAAAAGGGCTGGTTGAACTTCCGTAACTTGTAGATTGTTCTCGAAGTCCTCTGGTGAGAAATGGAGGTTCTTCGTTTACTGACAGTAAAACAAAGAAAAGAGGTTGGTGATACTCAGTAGGAAGCATATCATACTCCATCTTGTTAATGCCAGGCCACATGCTACTTTGGCGATGTATGAGAAAGAGCTAGGTTGGGAAATTCTGTTGCATCCATTATAATTTCCAGACCTAGCATCCTTTGATTATCACTTGTTTCTCTCTTTTCAAAATTTTTTGAAGGGGAAAAAAATTCAAAACTGAAACTAATGTCAGCCAAGCAACTACTCAAGTTTTTCACCTCCAAGGACAAGACATTTTTCAAAAATGGTATTTATAGATTGCCATCATGCTGACAAGAGGTCATAAATAATGAGAGATATTGTATTATACAATAAATACATTATTTTCTTTCACTTCCCTAACGGACAGGATAAATAATTCAGTAATCTGAATCATGCATTATAAAGAGAATTTAAGTCATTCTGGAGTTCTTTTGAAATGGCATTTGCCAGACAACACAAAAATCCTCTGGACATTCCGAGTTTTTATATTTCAAAGTTGGCAGTTGTGATATTGTATTTAATATTGGAGTAAATTATACTTGTAATGAGAGTTCATGGACTTCTAAATTGCATTATTTAATATGACTATTTTATTTGGATTAGTCTCAAAGTACCAAATTCATTGTACATTTAATAGTGAATTATTTTGCATGAAGAATTTTATTTAGATTGGAAATATTTCTCGTATTATTAATTTTGTATGATTATTTGGCATATTTTAATTGTTTTTGAAAAATTTACGAGTATTTTTGAAGTATGTATTTTATGTATTTTTCGAGGAGTTTAAAAATGTTGCATCACTTTAAAACTCTTCATCTGAGTATGTCAAATATTGTACTTTTTTTTTTACTTTAGAATGCGTAAGTTTGATTTAAAAAATATATATATTTACTACTCATATTAGCTAAAATAACACACCAAAGGGCAAATGTTGGAGATATGGAAGCAATAGGAATTAGCATAAGTTGCATGAATTTGTAGAACTAATTTCAAGATTTGAATAGATCCCATGTATCTGCAGTTGAAAAATACATAATGTGCAACCCATTATTCAGTTGTTTGGCATAAGGTTACTTTGTCAAATAGAATTTTTTTTTCCCTTTTTAAATTTGCTAGAGGATGAACATAATTTGGGAACTCAGATCAAATATGTAGCCTTTAGTTTTGCAAATTAGTTTGTTTCTCATGTTTATCAGTTTTGCTAATTTAACTGTTAATATAGTTGGGCTTATTTCATCTAGATTTGCAGCAATCTAGAGCTCTTATTTATTTTGCTTTTTTAAACTCCTACCCTTGCTTAAATTATAGCATTAATTACAGAATTTACTGGAATAAAAATGTAAACTGCTTTCTAGTAAAGAATAAGTGCAAATAAAATACAAATTGGAAATTATTGTCATGCCAGTAGATCAAAGTATTCAATATTGAATTATGTAAGTAGACTCAGATTCATCTTGGTAAATGCATCCTTTCATCATTGCTTGTTAAAGGTCATAAGAAGCTTTTTTAGAATATGTACCGTATTTGACGGCATATAAGACGCACTTTTTTTCCTAAATTTGGTCTCAAAAAGTTACCTGCGTCTTATATGTGAAGGACACAGGATAACTTTCAATACTGAATGTTATTTTTAGCCCGGATAAAGGTCTAGACACACATAACTTTTTCTACATCTGCTATAATTATTTTGCACATGCGTGAAATAACTGTCGCCAAAAAGTACCAAAGCTCGAAGCTGATGTAGAAGTTCGAACAGGTTCGAGAGTCGCATTACGTCTATGGAGCCATTTCTTCTTTACATAGTATTTCTTTGACTCAGCCGACACACGTGTCGGTATCGGTGCTACTCTGTATAAACGCTTCGGTATAGGTGCTTAAAACTAGCAAACAAACAGAGCAGCAGCAAGGCATTTCGGTCCACCACCTACTGAAAAAAATTATACGTACTTGGCGACTGCAGGAAGATCAACTGAAGACTGCTAAAAAACAAAAACATAACCTTCGATGCCCATCTTGGCTGTAAAAATCTTGGCTGTCTTAACCATCTTGGCTGTAAAAATGCTGTAAAAATCAAAATGCTGTAAAAATGTGGGTGATAGATAAGAGGAAATCTGGGATAAGTGTTTCAACTATAAAGGTAATCAATGAGGCCAAAAGATTTGCAGAAAAACATGGGAATCAGAACTTTTTAGGGTCTGAGGGCTGGTGCTACAGGTTCATGATAAGGCAAGGCTTATCAATGTGCACAAAAACAACTATTGCACAGAAAATCCCAGCAGATTATGAAGAAAAAATACTAGCATTTCATAGGTTTGTTATAAATGCATGCAAGAAAACTTCTTTTGAGCTCGGTCAAATAGGAAATATGGATGAAATTCTACTTACATTTGATGTACCATCCAGCAAGACTGTGAGTATTAAAGGGTCTAAATCAATAACCATAAAAACCACAGGTCATGAAAAAAACCCAATGTACGGTAGTTCTAACATCTTGTGCTGATGGCACAAAACTACCGCCGTTTTTCATATTCAAAAGAAAAACTTTCAATGAGTGTAATTGTTCATGTTCATCCGAAAGGCTGGATGGAAGAAGCTGGAATGAAACTGTGATTACAGAACGTATGGGGGAGGCGACCTGGTGGACTCTTAAGAAAACCTTCTCTTTTGGTTTTGGATCATTTTAGCGCCCATAGAACTGAAACCATAAAGAATAAAGCAAGAGAATTAAAAACCCAGATAGCGTCATCCTGGTGACTGACTAGTCAATTGCAGCCTTTAGATGTATCGGTGAATAAGCCATTTAAGGAAAAAGTGCGAGAATGATGGAACAAGTCGATAGGAGAGCCACATCACACCCTCGCACCCTCAGGTAGAATGAAGCAGCCCTCTATTTCACAAGTGTGCGAGTGGGTAAAAAGATCTTGGGAGGACGTAAAGGCTGAAGTAATTGTTAAGTTCTTTAAGAAGTGCGGAATCAGTAATGCTCTTGATGGAACAGAAGACGACACATTATTCAAAGAAAGTGATACTAGCAATGACGGAAACAGTAGTGATGACGATATCTCGTTTTCGATGATGATGATATTGAAAAGGATTTTTATGGTTTTGAAAGTGATTAAAGTTTAATTTCATGATAGGCAACTTTTTCCTTGAATCAGTGTTTTGTTTTTGTGTTTCTGCTTTATTTTGTATGTTGATGCTTGCCGTTCATCATTATTCATTATTGAAATTTACATATCATGTTCAAAATAGCTTGCCGTTGTTAATTTTCCTTAATAAAATATGTTTGGTAATTGCATTCAATGATTGTTTATTTGGCTGTTACGAAACGTGAGAACTAAAAGAAACCACATTTTAAGTTATTGTGGTACCGCACTGTCACGCGGACTATTGAAACTTTTTTAACCTTGTCTGTGGCCTTCTAAATAAGGGTGTGTCTTATATGCCTTCAAATACGGTATTTATTTCTACAAACAAGTACCTTTTTATTAATAAAGCATATAATATAAATTAAAGTTGATATGTATTTTCAGAGTTATGAATGTACTTCTTCAAGCAAGTGCTATTTCATTAATAAAAATATATAGCTAAAAATTGAAAATATGTTTAATTATTAACCTTTTATAAATTATTTTTATACATATTAATTTTAGAGGGATAAGATAAACACTAATTACATCTTTTATATAGATATAAGGTAAAAAGAATATTCTTCATGCTTTTGCTTTAAAGCCGATGTAATACTGTGGCTCCAGTGAACAACTTTAACACTAAGTTAAAATAAATTGCAATTAAAAGTGTAAATGAAATAAATGAAATTATCATTTATTATTATTTTATATAATATATATCACCTCCAAACTTACTCTTTTATAGTTAAAAGACTTGGAAAGAGATCTCTTGCGACTAGAAAATCCCAGTCTTTCTGATATTGACAGAATTTTGCTCAAATTCCAGCAACAGGTAATGTCTGCCGCAATTGTAGGTTTTATATTTGATGTAAATTACATGCTTTTATGATCTTTATTATGGAAATTTCATTCATGCATGCCATACATGCTGTTATGGTATTTTGTGATTACTTTGCAAATTTTTCTTTAGTGTGAAATTGATTACAAAAAAGAATTTGCCTTAAAGCCTGTCATGGGAAAAATGAATACTGTATTTGAAGCTGAAAGTGTAGAAAGTGTGATGGAAGCACTGAAAAAAGAGGGATCTGAATGGTCTCGGAAACAACATGAAACAATGAGGAAACTGGTAACAGCATATCTGTATTCTTTTTTCAATTAATTTAATTTTATCATTATTAGTCCAAAGGGGATGTAAGTTCCAAATGCAATACTGTCTCGAAACAGGATTTTGCATCAAAACACTTAAATGTGTTGTATGACTTTTCAGATTGTTACCAACAGATATTATTGCCCTGTATCATATTTAAGGAAATTCAAAAATGAAGCATCTGCATGATGCATGTATGTTTCTTGCATTGTGAAAAAACAATGGTACGTAGAGCCTTCAAATTTTTAATAATGTTGTCCTTTCCCCGAACATGAGCACCTGGAAACCCAAATTTTGAATTTGTTTTAATATGTAGGTAATATTTTGTAAAACTTTAACAGATTTTTTATTAACAAGCTCAATGATTTCAAAGCGAGGAGCAACAACGTTGTATGGAATAAAACATTTTTATTTCCAGCCAGTGGTTCCAAGGGGTTATCCCAGTAAATCATCTCAAAATATGCCTCTGCTTTGAAATTTCAATTTGGGAAGCAGAAATTTTTATATTTCCCCCCTTTCAGTCAGGTTTTCTTTCTTTCAGTGCTCTTTCAGTTGAAGTTCTTATATAAGTGCTTGTTCTTCCAGCATCATCAACAAAATGTTTTCAGAGTGAGCAAAATAACAGTTCCTCTGAATAACTTGTGAACTGAACAACTTTGCCATAAAATGTTCTGGCAAGAATGAACTTTTCTTGATTACTCTGTGAACATGACATGCTCCATGCATAGCTGTCGGGATTTTCATTATGTCAAATGAGGATGGCACATAAACTTTTATAGCATATTCGGCTAGTAGCTTTCAGTCTGTTGGTTTTGCAGTTGACATATAAAGATGAAGAATTATGTTTTATATGGAACATGAGCTTTTTGATCACCATCAAGAGGTTAATTTTTTATTGACGTAGAGGGTGTATTATTAGAAATTCTGAAAAGGTTAATCTATTAAAAAAAAGTGTAAATGTATTTTTAAAGAGGCTTGTGTAAAATGTTCCGAATTTGTGAACAAAAATATCTTTAAAGACCTCTTAGCAAATTCAGGGGCATGAATCCTTTTATTGCATTGTAAAACAACTACTTTCATTGCATTGATGAAATTAGCAGTTAATTTGCCAAATATTATTTCAGTAGATAGAAACATTTCTTTTATTCCAAGCAGTGCATAACTATGAAATGGATAGTCATTTATTTCTCTTATGCAAAAGCACACACACACAAAAAAAAAAAAAAAAAAAAAAGTAAGGAAAGGGGGAAAAAAAAGACATAAATTTTTTAACTGAAATATTCATTATTAAAGAAGATAAACGACACATTGGGGAAACGGTGTAGCACAAGGATGCCTGGGTCAAAGACCCTACCACTTGTAGAACAGATATGTTATTTCGAATACTGTCATGAGTAAATAGTATATACAGTCAAAAGTCGTTAATCCGGACTCATCGGGACTTCGGCAATTCCGGATTATAGATCATCAGTTTAAATCTGGTAAGATGGCATGCAGAAATTATAAAATTAAAAATATGAAACCATAATTTATGAAATAAAGAACAGTTATGATCTAAGGGTATCAAAATTTACAAAAAAAAAAAAAGCTTAATATTTATTCGTTTACTTTATTAAACATTTCTTTCGATGTAAGTTGTTTGAGTTGCTTCATTTTATGTGATAATACTTTCTCTTTAATTCTATAAACAGACATCATTTCTTGTTTAGTTACAAAGTTTCGCTGTTTAAGTCCTATAATTGCTGTTTCGAGAATACCGACTAATTTGTCAATCGAAATTTTTTCATTTTCAATAACCTCTGTGTCACTTTTTTCACTATCGGAAGCGAATTATAATGACAAGACGAAGTACATAGAGATGAAATACTACATTTAGTAAGGAGTTATAAGCCAGATAAAATAAAAACATCTGCCCTAAAGATAAGGATAGTGCTGACAGATCAACTTCCAATCCATTGTGCGCCACAGTGTTCCCCCCCCCCCCCGCATTGCAGCGTGAAATTGATAAACAGATTTCGGAATGGTTAGATAAACAAAGGATATGCCTTTATCCATTTTTTGCAGCAATTCCACTTTTTGTTTAATGGACTTCAAAACATATTTTCGCTTTGTAGATCCTTTACATATTAGTAAATGTATATCAGAAATTCTGTTTGACATAATCAAAAGTTCAAGCTTACTTTTATAAAATTGCTCTAACAGTCTGCAAAAAATAATAAGCCGGATCCAATTCGAAGATTAAGGAACAACGCAATCTGCAACATTAACTGAATTAGGTCATTTTAGTTTAGCTTATACCATCTGTTATACATTAAACACGCATTCGTAAACGTATTTATGCGCATGCGCACACGCATATTCGCAGCCCTAAAGGTGTTACGCACATGCATCAATGCAACGCATGTGCAGAAAGTTTGTAGCTTTGAGGTACGGATTATAGATCATTTCGGATTATGGGTGTCCGAATTAACGACTTTTGGCTGTATTTACAGAATTTTTTTTATAATTATATCATGTTTCTTATAAAGTTATAAGAAAAGATATAAGATAAAGAGATAAATTTCTAAAAAAGACTAAAGTGTGCATCAAGTTTTATTAGACCTGAAGTGCTGAAGCCAAGAAAGGAGGAATGAGCTGGCTATATCCTGATACAAGAAAAACATATGTAACATACATATAAGTAATAGGCTAAGTAGTGTGAGTCTCCTGGTGCACTAGTAATAATTAAACCTTAAATTTACAACGCAGTGTTAAGAAGTACAAAGCAGATTAAATAAGTTATACAATATGGGTACTAAGTATGGCCATATCCCATTTGCTATTATTTGGGTCATTAAAATCATAATCCTAAATCCTTATAACTGGGTTGTTGATATTAACAAGACTGACATAAAAGTTCCAGGCGAGCCGGCAGTAAAAATACTTAAGTTGTTCTATACCCAATTCTTCATGTAACTTTTGATTTTGAATGTACCAGGGCGAATTGGTAATCTGTCTTAGGACACAATTTTGTGCCTTTTGCCATTTTTTTCTATAAGATTTGCATGAATATGCTCAGACCGAGCAAGCATAGCATAGTATGGGACTGCAATACAATTTTATAAATAAGCAACTTGTTGTCTATTGAAAGAACACTGTTTCGAGAAATTAAGGGGTTTACTAACTCAAAACTTACCAAGGATAGATGTTATGTGTGGGTACCACGATAGAGTTTTACTGAGGATCACCCCAAGATAAAGGACTTGCTTGGCCTATGGGATGACTTCTCCATAGAGTTGCAGGGTTTTGGTTGAATTTATTCTTCTTGGCAAACAGAATTCCTTGAGTCTTGTCCACATTAACTTTGATTTTCCATTTTGTCAGCCAAGTCTCGAGTGTGTTTATGTAGTCTTGTAGTTGTTGTATTGCTGGGCTAACAAATGCACTCTGTGAGAGGATCCCAGTGTCGTCAGCATACATTGCGAGTGTACTGTATGGTGGGAATGTCGTTCGCATAGATATTGAATAAGGTAGGTCCCAGCAGACTTCCCTGAGGGACCCCAACAAGGATTTCCCTGCATGTTTGAGAGTGTATTTGAGATGCAAATGACAAAGTGTCTACCGGTTAGGTAGGATTTAACTGTGTTTGTAATGTAACCTGGGAAGCCCGGTTGTGTAGTTTGTAGATGAGTGCGTCTAGCCATACACGGTCAAAGGCCTTTGCTATATCTAAGAAACAGTTCTCCTGAAACTTTCTTTTTCTGTAGCCCTTCACTGATAAGTTCCACAACACAGTATAGCTGGTTGACCGTAGAATGTCTGCTTCAGAATCCAGATTGGTGAGGAATGATTATGCTATTCTGTTCCAGATGTTGATTAATCCTGGTTAGAAGTACAGCCTCCATAATTTTACTAAGTGAGCATAGCAGACTTATCAGGCGGTATGACTCTGGTGAGCTTGCAGACTTTTTGGGTTTCAGAATTCTTCAGCTTTTTAATGTAGGAGCACACCTCCAATGGCATGACTAGGATCATGTTGTGAGTGTGTGGGCTTGGCATATAGTTGTTGTAAAAGTCAGTAATTAATTGTTCTGTAATGGGGTCATGAATGTTGTTAGTGCGAAACTGAGATTCTAGATGCTGTGCTAAAAGTTCTGCTTTCTCAGTATATGTGGAATTGATCGAGAGCCTTTAAGGGGCAGAATGTTGTTGTGGCATTTTTTTATACCTTTTGATCGCTTTCCATATTGAGTTATCTCTGGAGAGGGACTCCAGGTCACAGCACATAACATTTGTCAATTTGTTTAGTCTTACAGTTTTCAGTTTTATGTGTCCCCATGTGCTTGACTTAATGGGGCTTTAGTTTACAATTTTCTGACGAGTGAGGGAAGTGTTGGCAGTTATGACACTGCACAAACTTCCGATAGTATTATATGGAGTAACAGAAACATAAAAACACATAAAGTAAGTTAAATTATCTCCACCCCTGGTACGTTCTCCAACTGAACTTGAAAAAGTGGCATAGGAGCCGTAGTTCTGAATCTATGCATTTGTGAGACTTTATGCACCTTATAGCCAAGAGCTACAAGCTCCTCATGTGTATCTCATCATCTAAATATCTAGTAACTGACCTATGATCGCTTTCTGTCTTCGGGAACACTTTCAGAAACTCGCCATCAATCTTAACTGCAAATTCGAGTTTTGTGTCATTCTTTAGTTTTTAAACAAAGATTATATTGAACTTTCAGTTCTTCAGTTCTTTTACTTTAGTAGTACAGAAAAATATTAATGTAGCATTTCCCCGAATTTAAATCCCGCCCTTGCCCTGTTCCATTCAAAAAGCTACTACATTTAGCAATTATTTTAAGTGTTCAGAAACTGAAAAGTAAGTCACATTGTAAAGGATGTGTTAAAATATAAATTAACCTTTTATAAATTAAGAGGCTTTATACTCATTGCATCAGTAATGAAATTGTTAATTATGATGTCATATTTTTACTCCAAGGTGGTTTGGGGGATTTTAGAAATGAAATTACAATCACCATATTTGTATTCATGGAAAGTTCTAGACATACGCTGTGCTGGGAATAGTGTTGCATTAGCTATACTCCTGCACTTAGCCAAAGGAGAACTGATGAAATTAGAACCACTTGATAGGAGAAAGTAAATGGGTAAGAGTAGAGAAAGTGTGATTGAAGTATTGCAGGCAGTTTATGGATGAAGGAGAAAGAGGGATGTGATAAAGAATGGACAGATAAATAGATATATTTATTTCATCTTCATTCGTGGGATCTATATTATATTGCTATACATACAATTTTTAGATCACTGAATGTAAGGACTTGCAGACTTTACATGATTTCTGTCCATTAATAATACTGTAAAGCAATTCTAGTTAAAGGAATATTAATGTCATATTCTGCATTTACGGAAATGCAATTTTTCGTTTGTGTATAAACATGCAGACATATAAACAAGCTAAAACTCTCAAAGATGTGTCTTTCTAGCATTTAGTGCTTTTATAATTATTGCTAAATTTCTTAGATGCATCATTAAAAGATAAAATATTAGACGTAATATATAAGAAAATAGATCCTTAATAGCCCTTTTATTCAACATTCTGTTTGTTCACTGAATGTTAGAGCCCATATCTCTGAACATTTCTGGCTATGAATAATATTCCAAAAATATTTTATTTTGGAAAGTTGTTGTTGCTAATGCTCACTTGTCTGACTTATAGTCAGCCGAAGCCCACAAAATTCCTCGTGGTAAGGAGGGCAAGTTTATGCCTGGCATTCGCAACAGCCTCGAGCACCATACAGGTGACAGTGCAATTTAGCTCAGTTCTGCTCCTAATTTTGACAGAGAACAGCTGGCGGGGGGTCCAAGCATCTCCCACCCCTCTCCCCTTCAACCAAACCACATTAGAGGACTTTTGACTCACTGCATATTTAGAGTGCTGCCATCCCGCACCGACACTGTACATTTACAAGCATCCATGCCTTCTCCGGGATTCGAACCCGCCCCCTTCGGCACAGCAGTCAGTGACGCTAACTACTATAGCCTTTGTGCAGCTGTTTTAGAATGTATCGGTGTCATATTTTTTGTAGTTTATTTTTGCTTTTCTTCTATATGAAACTACAATTTTTTAGCTGTATATCTATGCATAAATTATAATTCATTGTTCTACCTTTAACTTTTTAAAACTATAGTCATATTTTCATCTTTTAAAGTCACCAACTTCTTTGAAAGTGGCCTTCCAGCAACTGAAAAGAGGAGCAAATTTAACATTGCAGGATTGTTTGAAAATGGAGTATAGATTATGTCAGAGGTTCATGCAGAACAATGATTTTCATGAGGGTGTAAGAGCTGGTAAGATTATTTTTATGGATTTTATGAAATGTTCTGAATAAATTCAGATTTATGTATATTCCTGATTGAATGTAGATTTATTTGGTAATTTGCTGTGCATATTTGATAAGTATTGTGTTAAGAAAATAACAATTTAGCTATTCTCATAAAACAACTTTAGTTCACACAAGAATGAAATTTAAGTACTTCCTGTGTCTGTCAGTAACAGTTTATTTAAATATTAATGATATAATTATATTAATCTTCTTTCTGTAAGCTTAGTATTTTGTTATTTTTTTTTTTATTATAAAATGTCTTAACCATTAGTGATGTTAAAAAAAGAGTAAATGTAATAGTTCTGTAGCTAAATAATATGGAATATGAATTTTCCATTTATGTAGCCATTTTTAACTGAATTTTTAAGGATGTCAAATGTTTATAACACCTTTGATTTTATTATTTTTATTTTCAAATGCACATTTATTTTTTATTTAATATCACCTCTTATTAGACTGTATATTTTATTGTTTATTTGTTCAATAACTAGTTTAAAATCTTCTTCTTGTTTATATTCACTTGAAATTTGAATGTAATCAAAGAAAGTTATGATATCTGATAGACTTTTCCCCATACAGTTCTAATTGATAAAGATAACAGCCCTAAATGGAACCCTGCTACTCTAGAAGATGTTACAGAGAAGCAAGTGAATTCATACTTCGAGCCTTTGGCATCTGATAAGGAACTTCGCCTTTAATATAAGTGTATAAGTTTAATCTACATACAAGTAGCCAACATTTCTCAAAATGTGCCACTTATACTGTTTTTCTTTCTTACTACACGTTTGATAATAAACAGTAACTTTTTTTATGACAGATTTTAACATATGATGCTATCTAGCTGTAGAGATTTCTTATTTGTTTACTTCAAGGATTATTAGAATGCAGCTAAAGCAGTCGTTTTTCTAGTATATTTGATACATATCAAAGTTATTTTGTTATAACAAGCAAGGTACAAGTATTAAAACTGAATAAAATGTTTCTTATATTTTTATTTCATGCATTTTTTTAAATTATTCCCAAATTTTTTATAAAATATAATTTTCAAATGGAAGTTTGGAACTTCTGTGTTTTGACTGTTTAGGTTAAATAATATTTCGCAATGGAAACATAAATATAGAAAGATACACAATTCAGATTTATAGTAAATATGAAATTCCTTTTATTTGGAGAAAAAATTCATTAGATTAGAATAGAGAAAAATTCTAAAAGTATAGAGCAAGCAACGAATAATTTTAAACTCGCAATTTTTTCCCTTCATGAAGTTCCTCCTCCTCCCCCCCCAGGAAATTGGTGAAGCTTTTTATTGTGATTTTTCTTATTGGTCTATGCTTCATTACTTTTTATTTCAGTTGCTTCACTGTGGCATGATTTTTACTTTGCAGCATGTGATATATATAGCTTCGACTAAATGCTGTGTTATAGTTTATACATGAAATCTAGCCATTTTTGAAAATAAATTTTACTGAAATGTAAGTCTCATCTTTCTTGTCTAGTTAATTTTGTAATTTTAAGGTATATTTATTTTTTTAAATTACATGTGTATGTACTGATCTCTTTAAGGACAGAAAAAAAAAAAATAAATAAGTGAATAGTAGAGTTAAATGAAGTTTTAAAATGGATAGGTGAGGAATGATAATCTAATCTTGTTCTGTTGCATACTTCCTCCCTCCCCAGGATTGAATTATTTAAAAAATATAACTTCCATTCATTTAATAGTATATTTTCAGTTTTCAGTCAGAGTATAATTTGTATTTATATTCTAATACTAGAAAAAATCATGTTGTATACTTTTCTTGTCTGTATATTCTGTAAAAGGTCCCCTTTTGTATATTCTGTATTATTAGTTGACTTTTCCTTTTTGAACAGTTTGTGTGATTTCTAGTTTTTAGGCTTTTAATCAATTTCAAAAATGTGTTTTATTTGGAACTGAAGGAATTTAAGCTGTTAATTATCACTTCAACTTTAATGTTCTTTTTATATCTTTAGTTACAAATGCATAAAAATTAGTGGGATATTTTTTAAAACACAGTAGAAGAAAATTTCCTTCTCCTGCTGAAATGTTTATTCATGCCTGTGTCTGTGTAGTAAAAAATTCTCTGCCTTTAAAGAAATAATTCAAGTTATTATTTGCTTGTCCCTTAATGAGATTTAGTCAAGAAATATATTTGCTATTGACAATTCTTTGTTGAGACTTTATGTCTGATATTCTGCTATGTGATTTTACATGCAAATTATATTGAATAAGGTTTGAGAATTGTTGGTGAAATTATGACGCTTTTCAATGCAAAACAGCCACACTTGAAGTACAAAAGATAACATTTTATAATCTGTCTATCTTAAATGTTTTTGAAATACTTCTTTGATGTTGAATGAGTACATACTGAGCAACAATTTCTATTTGTATTAGAACTTTTATATGAAATAAATATGGAAGCTTATAACAAAATATGTTTTTGTTATGTGTATTATTTTTGTTGCATTCATTATCAAGTTAAAAAGAAGTTTAGTAAAAAATTTAGTCTCATATTCGTCCAAAAACTGGCTTGTATCAGTTATTACACATGAGAAAATCCATGAAAATGTCTATACAGCCAACCCATACGTTGGGATTCTAACCTCGGATCAAACTGCCAGTGTTCAGCTACTTTACCACTCAGTCGCTTGTGGGCAAGATTGTGTTGTATTGCTTGAAGAAAGTGAAAGTGAGTGAGTATACAGAGAAATTATGTTGCAGAACGAAGTGAAGTAGTTATATCAAAGAGTTGTCTTAAAACAGTTTTTTAATATTAATTGAAATCAAAATTTTCATTACACAGAAATGAATAAATGAAATCAACGATGAAGTATACAGTCATACATGGATGACAGATTTAGCATTTTTGTTGACTTAGCTGGACATTTGTATATTCTAAATAAAGAGTGGCAGGAAAGGAATCATTACCATGTATGATTGTATTAAACCTTCTTAGATCACTATTATTATGAGAAACACAAGACAGATAAAAGAAATTCCGTATGTTTCTCTATAACTTAAATCATGGTCGCTATTTCAAATGAAAAATCTCAAAAGTGTGCAAAAAGAAATATCATTGCTACAAGAATTCGAAAGATGTATTTATTTTAATGATTTGTAGTCCAGTTTTTTATTATTTTCATAATCATGCCATGAACACAAACATGAACAATGCTCTAGAAAATTTACAAGTGAAGCTAACTTATTTACTGAAGAAACAGATTTCATTAACTTTTACATGTACTGTCAAAAGAAAAGTACCTTATGTATTTTTTGAAATAAGAATAATCACTTTGTTTGGGAGTGCATTTATATACTAGTGTGCAGAACTTAAGCACTAAATTCATTTTTCAAGATACTACTGTGAAATTGTTGAAAAAAGCCTTTTGTGATTAGTACAATGAAAGGCCAACTCGGTAGAAAGGTGATTCTCGGTGATGCTGGCAGGAGTTACCCTAAAATATCCCACATATATTCAGTGGGATTTAAATAAGAAGAATTGTTGAAGAATAGTTGATATGGAGATTTAAATAAGAATGATCATCAATCCATTCTGTGGATATCTTCACTTCTCAAATCCTGTATTACCGTGCATAACCACAGTCGGGACCAGTGGCACCCTGGAAAAGACGCACGTGGAGGAGGATAATCAGCACCATGACATCAAGACACACAAAATGTGAGGAATCAGCATGTGTAGTACAATTCAGCTTAAAAAGAAAGGTACCTTTCCAGGCATTATTCTGCAAGTCAGATTGTGCATGAAGTATGGCTACAAGAAAACATCTAGACCCCTTTACCTATGGTAGAATAATTGGAAAGCTTCAGGAGGGGTGCAGTTTGGTGTGTATCCCCAAGAGTTTAGAATTCATAAAAGTGTTGTTTCATAAGCTTGGAAAGCCTTCCAAATGACAGGTACAGCTATAAGATAGGTTGTTGATGGTCAGTTTAGGTAAACAACGATTGATATATTGCCCTTCAGGCGAAAACTGATCGAAACCAGAGAGCAGGCAACATTGCTCAGCAATTGCACATGGCAACCAGATGACAGGTGTTCCAGTTTATTGTAGCTAGACGATTTCATAAAGGTGGCCTATTCGCCGTCCTAAGTGCTGAAAACCATTGACAGTAGCCCATCGGTGGCACTGTTTACCGTGGTGAACATTCAGACTGGACACCTAATCAATGAAATCACATCCTCTTTAATCTTAAGAGTCATTTTAGTTTGACAAATTAAGATTGTTAATGTGATGAAGTTAACCTCCTCGTAGTGCATCTTTTCCAGGGTGCCACTGGTCCCGACTGTGGTTGTGCACGGTCATACAGGATTTGAGAAGTGAAGATATCCACAGAATGGATTGATGATCATTCTTATTTAAATCTCCATATCAACTATTCTTCAGCGATTCTTCTTATTTAAATCCCACTGAATATATGTGAGATATTTTAGGGTAACTCCTGCCAGCATCACCTTACCGTCCAGAGAACACCAAACAACTGAAACAGATACTCCTTGAAGAATGGGAACTTTTATCCCTAGAACTGTTAGATAATTTGGTGTTCAGTATTTACATAAGGATGCAATGCAACCGCTGTGGTTATGGAAGGTCATATCTCTTACTAAGGCTCACTGGTTTGTTGTACTTCTTGGGCAGACAATTTTTTACACTAATGCCGTTCTGTCAATAAAGCTTTTTTCTGTTTGCTCTGTAATGCATGCATCACATTCACTCTCTTTGCTAGTATACTTTCCTCATCCTTTAAATACTTTATTGTTGCTTTGAAGTATGAATTTCATATCTCGCAGTTGAATTTTTGCGGAATTATGGCCCAAATCAGAAAAGTTGCTTAAGTTCTGCACACTAGTGTATGTGAACAGTTTTTTTCAGTTGAAAACTTATAAGTCTGATAAAAGTAACTGATTTAATGATGATCAGCTGCTATCTATGATGAAGATAGTTTCTATAAAATTTTATTCAAAGTTACAAGCTTTATCAGAATCAAAATGCAATTAAAGTGTCAAGCTGTAGTAAGAAATGAAGTTAATATATCTTTACAATACAAATATATGTATTTTTTTCTGAATATATCGAAGAAAAATTTAATAACTAAAAGAAAGATGGTTGGTTATTCTCCGTTTTGTACCACGTCGAAACTTTTTCGAGAAATTTGGAAAATTCTCAAAAAATGTGTTTCTTTTTGGTTGAAATAAGTTATTTAGTAGTTAATTCAGCTTATTAGAATTATTTTAAATTAATGTCCGTTTTAAAATATAACGTTTAGCAGTGACTACTTTTGAATTGCAAATTATAACCAAGAGAAATTTCTCAAAATTTAGATTTCAGATAGAAAATAAATATAATTCTGAATTTTTTCTCTTTGTGTTAATATTATTATTGTTAATTATGTTTTCATAAATATCTGGTTGTAATGAAAGTTTTCCGCCAAAACGTGATTAATAAAATTAGAAAAAAAAAAAAAAAACATGAAAGCAGTACCTTTAGTGCAGGTAGTAATTACCACCCAAATTTATGATTTTTTGCCAACATTTGGAAAGTTTTTCAAAGACTTCATCCCAGAAAATTGTGGCTGCGAGTCCAAAAATTGATCAACCTCATTTCAACCGTCTGTGCAGAATGGAAGATAGCACCAGCAAGATGTAGCTGCAGGTGTAAAAAAAAGGTAGAAGTCGAAAGGGGTGGATGTCATGGCTATATGTTGAGTGTTGCAAAAGATTCCATTCACATCCAGCTGGTGAAGGCAAACACATGTAGTTTTGCATTATCTTGATGGAATATTACCTTTTTGCTTCGGAATTCAATTCGACGTTTTTTCTTGATAGTTCGTCAACATGGACTAGCTTCTCGTAGTACACCTTACTGTCGAGTGTTTTACCGTTTTCCAGATACTCGTTGTGAAAAATACCACCAGATACAAAGCATGATCTTTTGGTTAGTCAAATTGTGCTTTGCGACACTGCCAATGGGTTGACTGGCCACAGATGAACCCCCTTTTCGGCTTGTGTTGTTGAAGTAAATCAACATTTTATCACTAGCAGTGTAGGATTTACATATAAGCTACACAAGGTATAGCTTAGGGCCCCAAAAAGTAAAATATTGTATAACAGGGACACAATAACGCCGAATAAATACTATTTCAGAAGTCAAACAACAAAAATCAGCGTTACTGTGAAAATTTTGAAAATATAATGCTGATTTTTGTTGTTTGACTTCTGAAATAGTATAACATACTTTTAAAGAGCCTCATATATCAAATAGCTTAGGGCCTTATCAAGTCTAAATCCAGCTCTGATCAATAGTGACAATCCGGTCCAGAATTTTGTCCTTGCATTGATATTCGAGCACATTAATGCAGGCCCGAGCAAAAAAGTCTGTCTTTATCTGCTTGAGTCAGCTCATGCGGCACCCAGCTATTGAACTTGTTCATCAAGTTTATGCGATGCATAGCGCAACTAATGGGCATAGCATTAACGTCTGACTCCCTAGCAAAGTTCTAGAGTGGTCGATTACTGATCTTCTTTCACAAGTTCTCGCGAGCAGGCCTCATCAACATCAGTACAACAGCCAAAACGCTCTGCTTTTTGAACGTCAGTCCTTGTTTTTGAACTTTTGGTACCAACCCTTCACACTGTCAAATGATACAACATTAGTATCTAACGCTGTAGACATGATTTGGTGACATTCTGTAGCTGACTTTTTTCAACATAACTAACTAGAAGTAAATGATGGTTCTAATCTGGTAGTGGGACAGTTCCATCTCAAAACACCTTGTACTTGATGATAACGATGTTTTCTGTACTAATTTTACAACAACATAGTATTCTAAAGGAACTCTCTTTTAAATGTCAAAAATCGTTTGACAAAATATGATTAAACAAGCCAACTGATGCAAAAGCAAAGTTTAAAATTATAAAAACATTTAGCAGAAATAGCAATAGAAGCTCCCTAAGGTTATATACTGTGCAGGCATTGAAGACAAAAGTTTTAAGCTTAACCAATTTATTAACAATATATATAAAAATAAAAATACAATAAATAAATTTAATCAACACCAGAAACTTAAAGAGTGTAACATTATCATTGCCAAATTACACTTAGTTGACTATTCATTAACCCCAAGGGTTTTTCCTTTAAAGAATATTACACTATTACTGATACAGCAAATATTTTACCTGATCTTTGAATATTGGCATTCAATACGTGAAAAACATATCACAGAACAAAAACTACGCGGTTAATATGAATTTCACTTCTCTATAAATAGGTCTATGCTTTTTGGCCAAGAATGCACCTGAAAAATTAAACTAAACCTTTAGTGCACTTAAACTGGCAAAATCCGCTCACTGTAGTTGCTCACGAGAAATCACAGCTTGGAAAAACACTTGTATTGAAGATGCCGCCTTCATGAAAACAAC